GGCCTTGACTTACGAGTTTAATTCGTTCTGAGACCGAGCTCGTTAAGGAGCTCGTTAACTCAAATTACTCTGTCAACTCAATGCAAAAAATCGGCCGAGAGACAGCTGGTATCTCAAAAAACTCGTTAGTCGGGACACTCGTAAGTCAAGGCCCCACTGTATTATATGAAATGCTGAAGGGTATTTTTTAAGAGGAAGAAGAAAAATGTAAAGATAATAAATATGAACAACAAAGTGACAACAAATACATATCTATCAACAATTGAATCTAAAAATCAAATGAATAAATCTGGTGAATGGAATAGAATCAGGGGCATTGAAATATAACAGACTGACGATTCTCAGAGGGAAGGGGGTGTGGGAGGGTGCGGGAAGAGATTAGACAAAGATCTTATATGCATGTATGTATTAACTATGGACACAGACAATAGGGTGGGGAGGGTATGGGGTGGAGTGGGAACCAGGTGGAGGGAAGCTATGGGGGGAAAAAAGATGGACATCTGTAATAATCTCAACAATAAAGATTAATTTAAAAAAATAAAAAAATAAAAAAACCCATATGAATTGGTTCATATTCTATTACCAAAAAAAGCATTCATCAGCAAACTTTGTTTTTAACAGTCATAATTTTAGAGACTAAGAACAAAAAAATCTAACTTCCATATAATTATGTAATTAATATTCAATAAATCTCTATTCCCTTATCATGAAGTTCAGGAACATTTATCTATACAAAAATGTTAGTTACGTATTCAATGATCATAGAAGTGTTCAAATTGAATATAGATGTTTATAATGCCACCAAGCAAAGGAGAATTAATGGGATAAATAGAGGCAGAATCTTTCAAATGAACCTGATACTTACCAATAATCCACAGTATAAGAAGATAGTCTATTCTTTCAAGGGCTGGTCCCATAGTGTTTTTCTTATCCTCATTGTAGACAAGAGAATATAGGTTTAGTAACAGCAAGAATGTGAAATATGATGCTCCATGAATAATAAATTTCATAAAGGGTGTATGAATGATTCTGCCAAACTGAGATTTGGGAGCTATCAAATAGCAAAGTGACAAAAGTGGCCAAAAGATGCCAACTGTTAAAACAGTCATTATCTTCTTACAGGTAGGCTTACGTCGGTAACCTGACATCTGTCCAAACCAAACAGTATTCAGAAACTGTTGGCAGTTAGACTGGGAGACAAACTGAAAAGGAATACACAGATAAAAAAAAAAAAAGTGAAGTGAAACCTGTAAATAGGATCTGATAACACCATTATTTAACTGACATTCAAAGTTTTAATAATAGCTTAAAATCAATTTTATATGGTCCACATAGATTTTTTCTCACATGTAATAAAGAGTATAGAGGTTAAGAGCATAGACTCTGGAGCCAGATTACTTAGATTCAAATCTAGGCACTATCACTCATTAAATGACCTTGAACAAGTTTTTAAACCTTTCTAACACTCAAATTCCCTACATGTAAAATGAAGATAGTAATAGTATCTACTTCATAAACTTGTTATAAGGATTAAATGTAAAGCTCTTAAAATAGTGCCTGGTTAATAGCATGTACATTACATAGTGATAATTATTAATTAGCCTCCTTAGTTATTTGCAAATTTAATTTATAAATGCTCTTATAATGTTTATGAAATTTCAAGTTTAACAAGTAAAAATCATAGAAAGAGACTTTAGTCTACAAAAATTAATGATTTCAGTTACAAGAAACCAAGATGTCAAGATAACAAAGCAATCAAAGTATAAAATCAGACATTTATGATCCATAAAAGCAGAAAAACTTAAATGCAGTAAAGTTACTCTTTAATCTACTTAAAACTGAATTTGGTGTGACAATGAAAAATGTTCCCAAATAAGAAGAAAATTCTAGTTTGCAAATTCCAGAAGTGTTTCCCCAATATAATGCTCACTTAAGGATTCTGATAGCTCTACATAAGTAACGGGATCAGGTTTAAAGTTACTAAAGTAAAGCACAAGTGATCATAACATCGTTCAGATATCTAAATAATATTTAGCCACTCTTCTGTTTTAAAATGATTTATCCTGAGATATAATTTAAAACAAAGTTTTTAAAACAAAATTTCTATTGTTTATTATGCTTATTAAGAAATTTCCTAATATACTATATGTTTCTTTTAGCACTTAATTCTTATTTCATCTTTTATTCTTTTGCTCAGATTCAGGTGTTCCTACAGAATCTTAATTTGTCTTTCAAGATGAAATATTGGAGAAATAGCCTTTTCTCCCACCAATTATCCAATTTAGTAACATGCCAAACTTATTGGTTTCACCCTTCCCCCAAATATCAAAGCAATCTTAGGACTGTTTGCTGTCCTTGCAATCCCTCTATATAATGATGATTTAATTAAATGATATTAAATATGTAATTAGAAAAACAAAATTTCAATTGGAAATGTTATAAGTCTGTGGTGGATTTTAAATTCTTTGATACTCCTCTAATCAAGAGATGCGCGATCAATGTTCCCTACCCTTCAACAAGCTTGTGATTACTTCTTTACATTTTTTATTTATTTTTACTTATTTTGTTGTTGTTATTCCCCTGAGGATATTTTTTTTCCATTGATTTTTAGGGATCGAACCTACAACCCAGGTACGTCATGCCCTTGACTGGGAATTGAAACTGGGACATTTGGTGCACAGGCTGGCACTCTAACCACTGAGCACCACTGGCCAGGTCTGTGATTGCTTTCACCAGGAGATTCTGGAAGAAGTGATGCTATGTGACTTCTGAAGATAGGTCATAAAAAGTCATGCAGTTTCCACTTGGAAGAACTCTTGCTCTTGGAGCCATAAACTGCCCTGTATAATGTTCTCCTGCCATGAAACTACCCTGCTGTGAGGAAGTCCAGACTATATGGAGGCATTCTAGTCAGCCCTCAGAGGATTCTCAGACCATTTCCTTGCAGCCAATCCACCATGACAGCCATGCCCCTCCTCAGTTACAGTTCTCAGGAGGCCCCCCTCTATGGACCCATCCACCTGAGCATCCAGTCCACTCAGAGCTCCCTGTTTGAGTCCTCAGCTGCTGCTCAGGCACCAGACATATGATCAACAAAGCCTCTAGATGATTGCAGCCCTGGTCATTAGAGCTACCTCCAGGTGGGCCCTACACATAGTGAGACAGAGACAAATCATCTTTGCTGTGTCCTTTCCTAATTCTAGACCTAAAGGATCCAAGAGCATTATAAAATGATTATGAAACCATTATAAAATGATTATGAAATGCTGTTTTATGCCACTAAGTATCAGGGTACTTTGTTATTCAGGATGAATTACCTAAATAAAGTTTACCAACTATTTGGGAAAATATTATCTTCTCTTTTAATCATACTTAGAAATCTAGTTTCATTCATCCTTAAAATTATAGAGTATCTTCCTTTCAATTAAAAATATTACTATTTATTTTTTTCTTTAAAAAGTACAGAAGCATTTATTATAAGAAAAATACAAATAATGTTAATCATATACAACCAAAGATAATTGAAATCATTGAGAGATTACGCTCAGCTAAGTAAAAGGAAACATCCAGAGTCTGCCTGAAATGAGGAAAGTGTTGGATTCTCACATGAAGGACTGGCTCAGAGCAGTCACTGCAGTGTGGTAGAAGAACAAACTGCTATGTGGCTCCTTTGCACTGCACCATTGTAGCTGTCACAGTAGGATTTGAATCACAGCCAGGAGTAGTATCAACAGGACAAATTAGACCTAATACAAATGCCATCTAGAGGAGTGCAAACCCTTCAGAAAACCGTCTCAACCATGACACTCTACATGTTGCCACCATATGCTAGACACATATGGGCTTGCAGGAAAATCCAACCTATGCTGGATCTTTAATGTTGTATTCTGAACATCTGTAAAGCTTACACATGACACAATGGAAGGATATTCTTGGCTGGCAGGGCAAAGACAGGAAAACAAACTAAAAGCAAATTTATACAAAAGCCCTATGCTTCTGTCTGTCTCCGTTACACAAGTGGCTTCAAACAATCTAACCCTATTTCACTTCTGCACTCAAGTTTCACATAAGTTAGGCTGTGGTTATTTATAACATAACAAAGTCAGGAAGGGTCATCTCCAACTCCAGATTTTATTGTCCTATCACAGGTATTATCTTCTTAATGCAAAGTTCATAGTTCAAATCCCAGCCAAAACCAATGACAAAAAACAAAGGACAATGGGTGAAAATAATTCACATGGGACTCTACTCTACAATGAACTTTGAGTTCTTACAAAAATAGATGGCAAATATTTATTGACTAAAATAATACTGAATGTCAAGTGTAATTGAAAAATTAAAAAATATGAATTGACAATAAAATGGAGTAAGGGTCTTCAGGCCAATGAAAAAGCACTTTTCTCTCAAAATAGGATACACAATGTGGGTAAGGCATATTCATTCAATACTTGCCACAGGAGGCCAGTAGGAAAAAAATGAACAAATACCCAAGTATCATTTTTCAATGTTCCTTTCCTTATAAAACATTACAAAATTACATAAAAGTTACTTACTTACTTTTCTTTCACCTTCCTTCGAATAAACTATTTGGTATCTCCTGTGTGTCCTCCAGGGATACAAATATGTCATCAGGAAACTGCCTCTTAGTTTTTTTCTTCCCTAACCAGGTAACCTTGGTTCTTTCCACCTTTCTTTAATTCTTTTCCCAATCACTTAAGTTGATTTTGCATCTTGTTATCTCTCTATTCTAACATTTTCTAAAATTTCATGTTTAAGTTGTAGAACAACGTAGTAAAGAAATTAACCTAAGATTTAGTCAATAATGTCTAGCCAAAATGTATATTAGAAGAAGTTTACATGTTTCTACTTATATGCATGAGCATTGTATTTCCTTTTGAAACCATATAGGTATTCTATTGATTTATAATCTTACAGCTACACTGATTCAAATTATTGTACTTAATTTATTTCCCTATAAATTTTCTACCTTAACTAAGGACCTTGGAATATTAAATATATATGACTTGAAGCCAGAGATCTGGAAAAGCAATATATTGTCTAGGTAATCTTAAGGAAAACATCTTAAAATTCCTGTATCAAACCTATTGTGAGGCTCAAATTTTAAACCAAGATAAAAATAATCATTCTGTTCCTAGGATCAAAGGTTCTGTATTTTGTTTTTTACCATTATCTATTCAGGCCCCATTTTTATATTAAAATAAATTTGATAAACAAGTTTTATTCCAACATCTATGTTGATAATAAAAATGGGTCTCAGAAGCAATACCTTTGAAGTACCATTTATCAATACTCCATACTGTCAACTAGATATCATTGTCTAAATATAAAATGTTTAGTAAATTATCCCTAAAATGAAATTTAAAATACATACCTTTCTTCTTCAAGTTCCTGAATCATGTGTATGTATGTGTATGGGGAGTAGAAATAGGTATTTCCCTTAATAGGAAGGGATGATGCCAGAAGAGCCAGATTCAACTTAGTTATATTACCATGTGCCTCTCCACCTTCGGATTTCACAATGAATTAACAAATAAGAATCAGGAAACATAACATCTGATACTTTATTTTTAAGCAGATAGGTAGTATTACTATATAAAGAACTATTATAACAGATCAATAAAACAAACTAGGACAAACAAAACACAAGAGGGAAAGTTTACTGTGAGGTCATGACATAAGATCTTACCTGTGTAGCTAATATTTCCCCAAACATTAAATTAATATATATTATTATTAAAATTAAAAATAATAGCAATTATCCCTGAATACTTGCTTAATACTAGTACTCATTATACTAAACTCTTAACTATATATTCTTAGTTAATTCTTAAAACTAAAGCTCAGACAGATTCAATAACTTTCCTAAGGACACACATTTTTATGAAGAACTAGGATCTCAACTTATATGTGCTGCTCCAAAGCCTTTGCCCTGAGCCACTAGACTACTGTGGAGGAAATAATTTAAATACATCACAGAAACCCTCATACCTCCTTTTGGTTATATTTGATAGCAAGTTTTAGACGACTTAAATTCATTCTTTCTTCTAATAATCCTCGTTTGTCAAGAGGCTCATCACTAGATGTATGGTTTAGAATAACTTCCAATTCGCGTGAATTCCGGGCTTGTGCAAGCAAATCTTTAGCAAACATTTTACATTGCCGGGCTAGTTCCTCATAATCATTCCTGCAAAATACAATGGTTGATTGTTAGAAATGTCACTTCCAACTTCCAACTACGCTATATTCACTAGAAAACTTTTACTCAGTAACATTTTAGTTCTGATAGTGGTGTGTGAAGTCATTATGTGCTGACTGTCAAAGGAACCTACTGTGTATTAATTTTCCACAGCTTTGGGGAAAACTATAATACAGTTATGTTCATGGTGTTCACACAATGCTTCCATATTTATATATATATATATATATATATATATATATATATAATATATACACATATATATACTTCCATATATATACTGATATCCCTAGAAATTCTGATATTTGTCAACCAACTCTTCTCTTAATTCATTTTCCCTTATTCTCTATAAGTTTGGTATAAAACTTCCTTTTATATTACTTATCTAAACAATAGATAACAATATATTTATGCTAACCAATAAATGTTACTCTATAGTTTTTAACTAAACATTTTTTCAATAACAGTCTACAACATGTTTATGCTACTTCTGATATTAAAATAGTATTTTGATTCATTTTTACAGTGTTCATTTGAAAAAAATTCAAGTTAAAAAGAAAGATCCTAAAACATGTCTAGTCAAGAATTCTCTTTCAGAATCACATTTCCTTAAAACTTAGGATTTAACTGCTTGTTAAAGTCAGGCCTAAATCAATTTGTGAGGAACTAAGAAGTTTTAGTAGACAATTTCTAAAAAATATATTCATTATATTAAATTTATATCTGAGTATAATAATTTAAGAATAAAGTTAGAAATAAATAATTATGAGTCCATTGAACTTCAGAAATTTTTATTCCTTTTTTTTTCTTAAAGGGAAAGGAAGGGAAAATAGGAAGATTTCCTATTGATTAATATCTCTCTAAAACAGGGTCTTCCATAAACTGGCTGCATAAAATTATAACTAAAAAAATTAAAAACTCTTAGGGGCTAACATTTTTCTCATCCATTCTTTGCATTTACTATGTTACCAAAATACCTAAGAATAAATAGTTGGATTTCTTTAACAACTGAATTAGTACCTGCTTCAGTCTAGAAATCTAGTTGCAGGTGGGAACATTCAGAGTGTATATTTTTACAAAGATATCTCACCTTAGATAAAGATTGTAAAACCACTATATTCAAAGGTAAAATGAATACATTTAATCAACCTAATTTGCTTAAGCTCTAATAAATTCCTGAAAGACTGCGAAGAGTCTGTATAATTTGGATGAAGATATAGTAGACTAGATGCAAAGAGTCCTCTGTTCTAGTTACAACTCGGCTCCTACTTTCAATGTCAACTCTGTTCCTAATTAGATGTTGGTACCAGTAAAACAGGTAACCTATATAGATCACATTCCCTGCCTATAAAAACAAGGGGTTATAGAAAAGGATTCTATGATCACTTCAAAATCTAACTTTATTAGTCTATGCTTATAATTTAATCATAGTAGTTGTTTCAAATCCCTTTTTGGAAGGAATTGTATTTTATATGGTAACTCAGAACTCTATGAGATTATAATAGGAAGTTCTTCATATTTAAAAGAAATACTTTATTAACAGTCTCATCTGCTAATTAAAGTAGCAAAAAATTACATTTTAAGCATGTCTCATGTTCATCCAAGTATATACTTTGTCATTTCAAGTTGAGGTAAATTTTAATATATCCAAATTAAAATGTAGTTCCAAACTTGAAAACGTATAAACAGGTATTTTTAAAGATTTCTGGAACTAAGAGCTCTCAAGAACACACACTATGTACTGCTATAAAGGCAAAGAAAATTGCAAGCTTCATTTTGCCCTTCCAGTAAATAGAAGTTTGAATTTTCCCAATCTTATCAAATCATTGGAGGAAAGCAATGTAAGACATGGCTCCACCATCAGCTGGACATGAAAAAAATGGTGGGAACTGGCCAGAAATCTTGATCAATTCTTCCTTCTTTGGAGGGCCATCAGGGATACTTTAACTTAAGGGAAAGTCTCAAAGCTTTTCCTCAAGTTGACTAATTGTAGTTTTCTAAAAAAAATTTTTTTAAATGTCTATCAGTAGTTTAATAGGCTGTTTTTTCCAAAGGTCCCCTCCCCCCAACTTAACTATCTATGAAGAAATGATTAACAGCGATTTGGGGGGTATACAAACTGCACATAACTCTTCATTTCAGAAGAAATGTCTACATGCTATACTTCTCCTAACAGAAACTCTCACTAAACAGTGAAAACAAACTTGGTCTCTCTGTGTGGAACATCCCTGACATTCAGAAAGCATTCCACATGCTTCTAAACGTTATGAAGAATCATACTCCAAGGACTATAGATGTGGAGTAAGGAAGGTAGGACAGAGTAGTTATAAACTGTTTGTCCTTGCTCAAGCTGCCATTCCCACTCCTCTTCCCATTGCCCTCGGATGCTTTTGGCAATGTGGAACAAAGCAAGAGTGGTGCAAGAGTGGTGCAAGAGGGGCAAAGAGCAGATGGGAAGACGTGATCTAAATCATACCAGGGTCTATTCCACTGAGAGAGAAGGGAAATCCCAGTAGGTGGCAGCAAGGTCTATCATCTTGAATCAAATGTAATTATATATTTTAAATTACCCTATGAAAAAGTCAGGCTGAAAATATTCTGGAAAAAAAGTTAAAATATAATTTATAATTTCTATTCATTCCCACCTGAATTCCACCTCCACAAGGCTTAGTTCTTTTAAATCAGCACTAAGTTCAAATGCTCTCAGAATTGGATCCTCCTCTGTTAACATTATTAGAGCTGGACTGGCCAAACAACGATATATATCAAGACGAAACCTGTGATAAAATTTTATTCCATAATGTAAAAGAAAATTATTACATACACATGATTAGTACTTTTAATTCACAATTTTCATAAATTTAAAATTACAGTATTCTAAAATCAAACAAAAAAATACACTTATTACAGGATACCTTACATAAAAATAAAAATACTTTAAAAGTACTTTGAGAAAAAATATTGAAAAAATTTTTATTCCTGAATCTTAGCTTATTTTAAATGAAATGTTAATGACTAATATAATTTGATCATTAAGTTATTCCTTCAATAATAAAGACTACTTTAATACACTAAATATATGTAACACATGAGTCATTCAACTAGGTTATTTTTTAAAGATGTTTCAAATCCTAAGAATGAAATCATGGATTAAAAATGGCAGAGGAGTAAATGGATGCTGCATGGACATGCTCCCACGACCCAAACTGGAATTAAAACAAAAATATACCCAGGTCAGAGCTGCTGGTGCAACCTGGTATGACCAGCCACAGGTCACAGGACCACGCTGCATGTGCACTGCCAGAGGAAACTAGGGCGTCATCCTGCCTTGGGTGCCGGGGCCGCACAGTGAATTGCATGCAAGAGGGCTCTGAGCCCTCAAAAGGAGTCACACACCACAGGAATTGTACACACACCCCCACTGACCCTGAAAATCTGAAGTGGACAACTGAGGGACCAGAACCATGGGAGAAGAGGGTACTACTCAGAGTAGAGACAATAAAGGTGTGAAACTCAAGGCAGACCCAGCCTCCAGTCTAGCAAGGATTATTGAATCACTAGGGGCTTCAACACCTCGAACCCCAAACAGGGTGCCCAGAGCCAGAAAGAGACAGAAAAAGGGAAAGACAAAAAAAAAAAAACCCAAAGGAAAGAAAAGGAGGAATCACCAGGAAAAGAACTAAATGAAATGCAGGCAAGAAATATGTTAAAGAAAGAATTCAGAGTAAGGGTCATACAGTTCCTAAACCAGCTGGATGAGAAAATTACCAACTTATGTAAGAATCAAGAGGAAATGAAGAACGATATGGCTACAATAAAAAAACAAAAAACAAAACAAAACACACACACACAATGAAAGGTTTCAACAGTAAAGTAGAAGACGCTGAGGACCGAATTAGCAAGTTAGAAGACAGGGCAGAAAAACCCACCCAATCTGAACAGCAATTGGAAAAAAAAATTAGAAAGCAGGAGGAAAGCTTAAGGGAGCTATGGGACAACATGAAATGAAGCAACATCTGTATAATAGGGGTGCCAAAAGGACAAGAAGACAAGCAAGGATTAGAAACCCTATTGGAAGAAATGACAGAAAACTTGCCTGATGCGGGGAAGGAAAAAGTCACACAAGCACAGAGAGTCCAAATTAAGATGAACCCAAAAAGACCCACACCAAGACACGTTGTAAATACAATGGCAAATGTTAATGACAAAGAGAGAATCTTAAGGGCTGAAAGGTAGAGACAGAGTTATCTACAAGGAATCTCCCATTAGATTATCAAATGATTTCTCAACAGAAACAGATCAGGCCAGAAGGGAATGGAATGAAGTATACAAAGTGATGCAAAGCAAGGGACTGAATCCAAGAATACTCCATCCAGCAAGGCTATCATTCAAAACTGAAGGGAAAATCAGGAGCTTTGCAGACAAAAAATGGCTAAGGGAGTTTATTACTACCAAGCCAGCATTGCAAGAAATACTAAAGGGACTGTTGTAAAAAGAAGAAATAGAAAGGCAAGAAGGAACACAGGCAGAAGGAATAAAAATGGCTACAAACAAGTACTTATCCTATATAATAAAAGGCTAATATGCAAATAGACCAAATGGTGGAACAACCAGAACTGAAGAACCAGTCGCTATAACGTGCACTGGCCACCAGGGGGCGTGCGTGCAACATGGCGGGCATCGGCTGCGGCGAGATGGTGGAGCAGGTGAGCAGGGGCGCCAGTCGCTGTCATCAGGGCAAGCTTCTGGTGGTTACTAAAATTCTTTGCGAGATGGTGGAGCAGGTGAGCAGGGGCGCCAGTCGCTGTCATCAGGGCAAGCTTCTGGTGGTTACTGAAAATTCTTTGCTCCCGTGCACTGCAGCCCCGCCCAGTGCTCGCACCTGCTGCCAGCGCCGACCCCACTCACACCTGCTGCCGGTGCCAGAGCCACTGCTTGCACCCACTGCCAGCGCCAGCACCGCTCACACCCACAGCCAGCACCGGAGCCGCCACTTGCGCCCACTGCCAGTGCCTGCCGCCAGTCCCGATTGCTCAGCACCATCAACAGGTGTGAGCGGCGGCTGCTGGCCCTGATCGCCCCTGAGGGTTTCTCCACCTCCCCCTGCTCCTGAGGGGTAACAGGGTAGCAGCAGCCGCTCACACTCACTGACAGTGCTGGACCTGCTCGCACCCACTGCTGGTGCTGGTCCGTCGCACTGCGCCGTCAGCAGGTATTAGCGGGACCAGCGCCGTAAGCGCATGGGAGTGGTGGTGGCAGGAGTAGGGCTGCTGGCAGACAGAGGACCAGGGGCCACAGCAGGAGGAGCCAGATGGGGGCATGGAGGATGGGCCGAGACCTGCCCCTGTGTCTACCGCAGCCTCGCAGCCCACAAGGTACACAAATTCGTGCACTGGGCCCCTAGTCTACAATAATAAAAGCATAATATGCTAGTTAGACCAGACGACCTCCTGGATGAAGCTAGGGCTGCAAGGAAAGCCCGGGTCCCGGGTACCTGCTGGCGGTGGGAGGGAAGCCCGGGTCCCGGGTGCCTGCCAGTGGCCAGAGGGAAGCCTTGGTCCTGGGTGCCCGCCGGCGGCTGAATGGAAGCCCGGGTCCAGGTGCCAAAGGGAAGCTGGTGCCAGCAGCAAGGGGAAGGAATGCCTACTCTTGCATGAATTTCGTGCATCGGGCCCCTCATAGATGTGAAAATCCTCAACACAGTTCTAACAAATCATATCCAGCACTACATTAGAAAGATCATACATCATAACTAAATGAAATTTATTCCGGGGATGCAAGTCTGGAATAATATCCGCAAGTCAATAAATGTGATACATCACATAAACAAATTGAGAGGAAAAATCACATGTCAATTGATGCAGAAAAATCATTTGACAAAATCCAATAGCTTTTCTTGATAAAAACCCTCAGCAAAGTGGGAATAGAGGGGCCATACCTCAATATAACCAAAACCTTATCTAACAAACCTACAAGCCAACATCATATTCAATGGGCAAAAATTAAAACATTTCCCCTAAGAACAGGAATAAGACAGGGATGCCTATTTTCACCACTCCTGTTCAAAATAGTACTGGAAGTGCTAGCCATATCAATCAGACAAGAAGAATAAATAAAAGGCATCCAAATTGGAAAAGAAGAAGTAAAACTGTCATTATTTGCAGATGACATGGTATTGTACATAGAAAACCCTAAAGACTCCATCAAAAAAGTACTATATTGCCATAGCTGGTTTGGCTAAATGGATAGAGCATCAAACTACGGACTGAAGGGTCCTGGTTTGACTGTGGTCAAGGGCATATGCCAGTGTTGCAGGCTTGATTCCCAGTATGGGACGTGCAAGAGGCAACCAATCAATTATTTTCTCTCATCATTGATGTTTCTATCTCTCTTTCCCTCTCCCTTCTTCTCTGAAATCAATAGAGATATATTTTTTTAAAAAACTACTAGATTTAATTAATGAATTCAACAATGTAGCAGGATACAAAATTAAAACCCAGGAAACAATGGCTTTTTTATACACCAATAATGAACGCACAGAAAGAGAAACTAAAAAACAATCCCATTTAACATTACAACAAAAAAATCAAGATAACTAGGAATAAACTCAACTAAGGAAATACAAGACCTGTACTTGGAAAACCACAGGACATTGAAAAAAGAGATAGAGGAAGACATAAACAGATGGAAGAATATACCATGTTCATGGATTGGTAGAACCAACAACGTTAAAATGTCTCTATTACCGTAAGCAATCTATAGATTCGATGCAATCTCCATTAAAATATCAATGGCATATTTCACAGACCTAGAAAAACTCTCCAAACATTCCATATGTAATAAAAAAAAAGACCCCGAACAGCTACAGCAATCCTAATAAAGAAGAACAGAGTAGGAGGGATCACAATACCAGATATTAGCTATTCTACAAAGCCACTGTTCTCAAAACTGGTGCTGGCACAGGAACAGACATATAGACCAATGGAACAGAACAGAGAACCCAGAGTCGACGCAAGCCCTTATGCTCAATTAATATTTGAAAAAAGGAGGCAAGAGCATACAATGGAGTCAAAATACTCTCTTCAATAAATGGTGTTGGGAAATTGGACAGATACATGCAAAAAAATAAAACTAGAACAACAACTTACACCATGCACAAAAATAACCTCAAAATGGATAAAGGACTTAAACGTAAGACGGGAAACCATAAAAATATTAAAAGAATCTATAGGCAACAAAATACCAGACAAGTCGTAGCAATCAATCTCTTTACCGATACAGCTCCTAGGACAATGGAAACTAAGGAAAAAATAAACAAATGGGACTACATCAAAATAAAAAGCAAAAAAAAAAAAAAAAAAAAAGGCATCAATAAAACAACAAGAAAGCCCACTGCATGGGAGAACATATTTGCCAATGTTATATCTGATGAGGGTTTAATCTCCAAAATTTATGGGGAACTCATACAACTTAACAAAAGGAAGATAAACAATCCAATGAAACAATGGGCAAAGGTCCTAAATACACAGTTCTTGAAAGTGGATTTACAGAAGGCCAAGGGACATATGAAAACATGCTCAAAGTCACTAATCATCCAAGAGATGCAAATCAAAATGACAATGAGGTTCCATCTCACACCTGTCAGAATGGCTATCGTCAACAAATCAACAAAGGACAAATGCTGGCGAGGATGTAGAGAAAAAGGAATCGTGTGCACTGCTGGTGAGAATGCAGACTGGTGAAGCCACTGTGGAAAAAAGTATGGAGTGTCCTCAAA